TTATCTCTTGGTTTCCATCTGGACCTCCTTGAAATAGAAGGCCTTCTATTGCCTATCATTTATTAAAGACTTGTGTTCTAGACGCTGTACAAAAGATTTTACAAAATTGCTCTTTGGAGCATCTGAAGAAACACCCCAGCTAGTTAGGTATTGTTTAATATTTAGTGAAGCCGGAGACATGAAAGGGAACAAGGAAGAGGAAGAATCAAAACTTATGCCGATTTAGCTGCTTTGCCTTATGCTTTCCTTGGGTGCTGAAAAGGGAGAATTTATAACAAGAGATTAGACTCCCAGGGAAAGAGGGCATGTGATATTTCCAAAATTCCTACCTGAAGTAGCATACCCAGTCACTGATACTGTAAACCCTGGTCAGATTTCTTATATAGTGCCTGAGCCTTCTTGGTGCTCACTGATGAACTTTCTACAGAATTATAGAGAGCTTGTATACGAATTTCCTTTCCAGGAGTGCACAGCATTTTTCCATTTGTACTTACTTTCTCAACTTCATGTTTCTTCTCTTTGTATCTCCATCCACCGCTTCAGTTCTATTTAACACACTGCAGAATAAGATCACGTCCTTCTTGGAGTACTGAAAACAATAATAGTTTTCACTACCTGACAGCAATGTTATATTTACTGAAATTCATGTGGGAGTATTATTAATGGGGAAAGTTACCACCAGTTATTTAAAACCTCAGAGGAAATGTACCCTTATGGTTAAGATCATAACTCCTGAAGTATAAGTATCTAGGTTCAAAATCTTACAGCTAACTGTTTGTTAGCTATGTGATCTTGGGCATTTTTAACAGTGCTGTAAAACCATTCTCTTACATAGAAAATGAAGATAATAACGGTGTTTACTTTCGAGTATTATTGAAAAAATTAAATAAGATTCTGCATGTACAGTTCATTGAGCTGTGCCTAGTTCATCATAAGTCTTACGTATGTTGCTGATGCTGTTTATATAGATAGTATTTTCCACTATTCACTAGCTATTGTTTTGCCTAGAGAAATACAATCACAATGAGAGCAAAGAAAAGCCAATTATCCCGAAATGGATGTAGTACCTATGACTTGAGTGATTTTTTTTTCTGGTTAGTTCAGAAAGGAAATAAAACGAATTATTTTCTATGAAAAGAATCTTGTATTCAGATTGATTATCTTCTGATAATCCTATTTATTTTCTTTACCAACTTGTTGCTTTTCTGTTTCCTAAGTCTAATACCAGCCTAAGGCCAGTGACCTCCTGATAGCTTAACTCAAATAGACTTATGTCGCATCCTACCTGCTGCATCTATGCTTCCTCTCCACCTATAGTTCACACTGCCTGATGGTCGTGAAAAAAATCTCCATTATAACCTTTAAGAGAGAATCCTGTGTCCCCCAACGATATTCACTTCAGGTTCAAGACTGTGCGTGAGCCCTATAGTTTGACAGATTGAACACTAGTCTGCCGTCCCAAAGGAATGTGATAGAACTCTGCTGATATTGATAATTTACGTCATTGCTGATGAAACTAATTGCCCCCAAGGTCTTGTAAACAAAAGGATCCATCAGTGGGCTATTTTCTTTTCTCCTAGCAGAGATATTTTAGAGTAAAGAGACAATTTCAGTGTACTTTCCTGAACGGTGTGTGGCAAAATGAAAAATCTAGTCGGAATTTCCTTTTTCACTCAAAACAAGGGACCCGTGTGAGTAAACATTTTGTATGGGTTTTTAATCAAATATATTCGTACTATCTCCCAGCCTTCCTTTTTTTTTTTTTTCACCAGTGCAGTTTCCTTTTGAAGCTTCAATAACTACTGTGGATTTCATCAAGTTCTCATACACAATATGTTAAGAGAAACAGCATAGAACCTGGCAAAGTGAAGAACACTGGATCAATTTCCCAGTTGTAACATTTGCCAGATAAGTGACTGTAAGCAAGTCAGTTAAACTTCTCTTATCTGTGACACATAGAAAATGAGATGTGCTTCACCACGAGCCAGGGCTAAGAAGAAATAACTACGGTGATAGACTCATAAGAACTCGGTGACACACAGAGCCCTTATGGCACCTTTATAACTTGTTCTACACTATCATCATGCCATAGAAAACTGTAAGGGACGTAAGTTTTTTACCTTCCAACACTAACACAGTATCTCAGGCAGTGTTCCTTGCTGAAAGGAGGAATTTTGTTCCTAATGTTTATGAGATTTGGCAAGAATTCCTCATCAATATTTAGTTGATCATATAAATGAATTAAAAGAAAAACACACACTTGGTATTTAAAATTAAAGACAGAGCTATCACTTGCATTCCTTCTATCTTTCCCATGATGCCAAGACCAAACAAATAATTGGTACTAGATAAATACTTGCTTATGCATTTTGTATTCCTTTCTTTGTTAATGCGACAACGAAGATATTTATATGCAGTAGACTTTACTCAGTCATGGAAAAGAAGAAAATTAGCACATTGATGAATCGGCATTCTGTTTGCACCTCAGAATTCCTCATTTATTCAGCAAAGAAACATGTCGATGGTTTCCCATTGCATATGAGTTTAAGTAACTAGCAATTAAGACAGGGTCTTTGCTATCAGGGCAAGATAGAAAAAAATCAAATGTGTGATCATTTATATACTTAGGGTGTTTACCCAGTCATTCCATTGGTTAAATTATTTTCTGTAGCTGGGGTTGTATCTCAGTGGTGGTAGAGGCCTTACACATGTTGTGCCCTAAGAATCAGCTCAGTTCCAGAAAGAGAGAGAGAGAGAGAGAGAGAGAGAGAGAGAGAGAGAGAGAGAGAATATGTTAGTTTCCCTGTATATCATGCACAGGATTTGTTTTGGTTCCCCGAATGCATCCCCTGGGGGGGAAAAACTTTTAGGTGGTTTGCAAACAAAGGGAGAGAGAGAGAAATGAAGTAAGGCAATGCTCACCAAATTAGGTCTGGTATTTGCCCTAACTTCAATAAGCTCACCTTTCTCTTTTGCTGAAGAAATGTCAAATCAGGTCTACCATATAGATTTAGAAAATGGAGAAAAAAATCTAAGTATGGTGTTGCATGCATGTAAAAATATAATTTTGAAGAATGAGAAAAAAATTATGTGTCCTAGTCCAACCTGGGCAACATAGTGAATGTGTGTGTGTGTGTGTGTGTGTGTGTGAGAGAGAGAGAGAGAGAGAGAGAGAGAGAGAGAGAGAGAGAGAGAGAAATATGTTCCAGTGTCCCACAGAGACTGAAAGAGAAAAAAGAAAATCCTGGAAATGCTGTCTATCTGATTAAGCTCCATGCAGCAAGAAACTCATGAATAATTTTCTACTATATTTTCTCGTTTGTAAATCCAGCTATAACATCCCCAAACAGCCCCAAGTTTTATGTGATAAGTATAGATGTTCTTCCATCTGTTTTATTATTTTCCGTCCTTTAGCAGCTGAGTTCATGCCATCTATATTCCTCTTCCAGTACATGGAGTCCAACAGGGCTACTTTGACTGCCAAAAATAGTGACAAGAAACCTTCGTGGTCCATCTACCTTATTTCTGCAGCTCTCAGACTTCTCATTTCAAGTGAATGTGACCGGAAACAAGAGACACGTCTTTAGAATTATCATGTTATTGCTGTCACTTCCCTCTTTACTGCGGCAGCGCATTTAATTAAATTTTAGAAAGAGTTAGAGGTGGGGGGCGGGGAAAAAAACTTTTTAAGCCACACAGATCAAGTCGATTTTTCAGAGCTTCAGAATGAATTTTTAAACTTGTTGAAGAGAAGCATACAAATCTGTAAGAGCAAGTCAAATAATGTACAAAGCCTCCATTCATTGTGTAGGCAGAATGGAATGCTGGAGCCCGGCAGCTCTCTAAGGAATGTTCCTTTGGCTTCGACTGTTCTGCTGGGAACAAGGAGGGAAACACATATATAAAATGAATTTCTAATGTCTCTGGCTTATTATGGCAAAATGATAAGAAAAGTTGGCTGTTTAATACAAACTGTCAGTTGCATATTCCAGGCCTCCATTCTTTGAGGTCCCTCCCACATCCACACGCCTGGCTACCATTTAGCCAGCAGTACAATGTAGCTGATTATGATTATTGACTGTCCAAGCCTGTGCTCTTAAACTCATTCTGCCGACCGAATGTAAGCAAAGTTGGCATTTTAAAGCAGGGCCCATTCCATTGCTGGGTTGTCTTAGGTTTGCTATGCAACAGGATAAGTGCTGTAGTCCCCGGTTCAAGCTGAAAATGTTGCACAGGAAGACATATCATGTAAAGGTCAGATTCTTATATTATGATGTCTTTTTATTTCTGTCTATACAAATGAAACTTAATGCATACCTCTTTTCTTAACTCTTACCAAGGTCCTAACTTGCCAAGGACACTTTTTACCTGCTGAGCCTGAAACGATGATGATATTCTTAAATGATGTATCAAATGCTTAGTAATCAATGCATGGTGTTGTAATATGTGTATGATGCTATAACACTAAGGGGAATTTAATGTATGTTTTCAAGAAGATGTTCTTGTCTCATAGAGTCCCATTAATGTGTTGGTGTTGTGGACTAAGTACAACCTTTGCTATCCTTTTTTCCATGCTTTTATGGTCACAGTCAACACAGTGGATTCATAGGTGCTTTGAAAGTACAACTCGACTCTCATTGTAATGAAATGATTACCACTGGGATCTCCTTCATCATGTTATTTTATTTCATAAAACATATATATTTGTGTTTATCAGAACATTTCATTCATGGACTAGAAAGTTTAGCTTATGAAATGTGCTATAAATGTATTACTTCTAATTCATAAAATAAGAAACACATTTATTACATCTAATATGGTATTTATTCTTATTCTCCATAATAACTCTATGAGGCAGGACCCCAAGAAAAATGACGCAGGGTGTATTCTGCAAATTGTAAAATTAGAATTTCTTTGAACTAACAAGTTCTCCAAATTTACATTCACAGCTAGTCTCTTTGTTTGATAATTCTGAATGTGTTCTTCCTGCTGTTTGGTAGGATCTCCAAGGTGAAATTGAAGCTCACACGGACATCTATCACAATCTCGATGAAAATGGCCAAAAAATCTTGAGGTCCCTGGAAAGTTCAGATGAGGCAGCCCTGTTACAAAGACGTTTGGATAACATGAATTTCAAGTGGAGTGAACTTCGGAAAAAGTCTCTCAACATTAGGTAGGCAAAAATTGCGGTGGGCTGGGGGGATCCAGATGTGAATAAAGATGACAAAATTCTCCTCATTTTCCTAGCACAGGTAGCTAATGTCTCGTATGTTTATGTAAATCACCCAATTTCAGAATGATTCATTTTATTTTGAATAAATGAATCATTCATTTGCTTGGAATGGAAATGATACTTGAGGGTTCGGGTTAGATTAAAATGGGACTGTCTCATAACCACAGGAGAGATGCCTATTAAGACATTAGAGTAAATTTAAATGGGGAACACAGCGATCCTAATTTCAGAGTTCTCTCTTGGCGTATCACGGTGTCATACAAAAAGCAATAAAATTAGTGAATGTTTGTTATGGAATTCTCTTTGGCATTACACTGAACGCATAACCAAAGGACATCCTTTAAAAGGCAGAACACATTATAATTAACAATTTAAAGACACCCTCTCCAGAGTTCCTGCAGCTAAGGAGATTATAGCAATTTTTTATCATTTGATCTCTTAGATTTTGTTGAAGCATTTCGCCTGTGGGTACACTAAACTTTTTGATTTTCTGCCTACTTTCTTCTTTGCCCTGTCAGTCTGCTTTGAGAAATGAATGACTATATCTTGCATCATTGCTAAGGAAGGTAAAGGGAAGCGCTAGGGTTCTTTGTGTGGCTCGTATAAGCCTATGGGGGACAAAAGAGCAGAGCTGAGCTGCTAAGTGCCCAGTGGTACCCAAGGAGCTGGGAAATGCACAGATGAGAAGCAAGCTTCCCACTTTCTATTTGATTGGGTTTCCTAATCCACTTATTTTTAAACATATTTTTGTACTCTCAACAGTGGCTATGAAAGGAGTGGTCATGAAGAGAGGTAGAAAAAGACAAATGAGCTTAATAATAGAATGAAATGTATCCAATAGCGGGAGTAGTTACTAGCCTGAGGTAGTATGACTACAAACAAGCCTTTTGCCCCTTCTGTCTAAGTCAGCCTAAATTGTCTGCAATTCCAACAGACAACCCTCATACCGAAGAGGAACACCAGATTTTATTAAGTTGAAACCACTGCTGTAAAAACTCTACCCACAATAAAATAATAATAATGCTAGTAACTAATGCAGGCTATGTGTTATGTTCCGTCCACTGCTCTAAGCATTTCATAGTGTTTGGCCCCTGTGATTCTTTCAGCAACAGTGAAAGGTAGATTTCCTTCTAATACTTTCTTAGCATTTGAAGCAAATGAGGGACAGAGAGGTTAAATAAGTTTCCAAAAGTGACCCAATTAGTAAAGGGCATCTTTAAGACCTATTCACAGTGAGTCTAACTTTATCATAAAAGCTTTTCATCATCATAGTATTCTGTAGAGTAGAATAAAGCAATTTTCACTAATAAAGACATCATTATTTAAAAATTGATTTGAAGAACAGATTTGAAGAACAGAAGAGAAATGCTTTTGCAAGGCTTTCCTGCAAGCTTGCACTCAGCATCCTAGAATCTCAATATTTATCTCAATATTTTGTCCATGAATTTTTTAAATCTACATGTTAGTGATAAGTTGGAGGCAACAATGGGATATGGTATTTTCAAAAATAGAGAGGCTTATTTGCTGTCTATATTTTAAACTTTTGATCAGGCCAAACTATAAAATGGCAATGGCCACATTTGTAACATCGATCCTTAAAAAAAATAAAACATGAGGAGAAAAAAAATGTTTCAATGAGTGAGAAAAGAAAACATAATTGCCTTTTTTCAGGAAAGAAAAGGAAAGGGGCAATAACTGAAACTGTCTGAATACCTTTTCTCTACTGCATGTGAACTTAATGAAAAAGAATTTAAGGCAGCATACAGCATTTCAGGCAACATATGAGCCCTTTGTTTTCAGAAATTTTCCATATGTCAACTGTTGTCATCTAATTCTTACTGCCATTAATCAAGCAAAAACCAGTTACCTTACCTTATGTACGGTGCTATGAATTCTGCAATTGAAATCGTCTGATCAATAATGGTCTTAGCTTTTAAAGAGGTCTCTGTGATATTGTAGTTTCTCAGTTATAAGAAGCAAAGAATTCTTCACATCCACATGCGTTAGTGTAGTGTAATACGTGACTGGAATGGGGTATCACACGCTCCACTGCAGAGGCACAGCAGAGATAGTAATTGGGGACATTATGCAATAAGAAAAAAGGAAGATTGGAATGATTGTCCCTTCGCGTATTTTTCATCTCTAATGTCACTACAATTTAAAAAAAAAAGTTTCAAAATATCCTGGGAAAACAACACTGTTTCTGCAAACTATAGCACATTATATACTAGAAAATGTAGTGGGCTCGTTGTTTCATGAGGGCTTCTGAAACCATTCATGTATTTCAGACAATAAGAGCAAACGGTACAGAAACATTCTACCTAGGACAAAATTTCTATCACATTACTCCTTAGTTCAAAAATTTTGGACTTGTGCACACATCTTGCTCATTCCTTTTCTTCCCTTTTCTGTTCTTCCTGTGCCCCACCCCCACTGTGTTTCTTTCTCTCCAAGCAACATTCTAGCCGTTCCCAACATGGAACTCTGAAGCTACTAGATTCTGCTTTTTAAAACAGTCTTGATTTCTAGCAATTTCCTGTCTCTCCTGAGAGATGTGTATGGACATATACTGGTTCTCATGCTTGGAACATAACTCTCTAAATTTTGACTCAAATTCTACAACAGGGGTTTCCCATATGGACTGTTCTTTACCAGTTCTTTCTAGGACTATTCACTATTCTAATTGACATTTGAAGGACTAAGTATGGCTCAGTGATAAAGTGCTCTTCTAACATGAACAAGATCTTTGGTTTAGCCTGTAAAACATACGAGAGAGAGAGAGAGAGAGAGAGAGAGAGAGAGAGAGAGAGAGAGAGAGAGAGATGTTGCCAGGTGGTATTGCCAGGACTCAGGATCAGAGGCAGGTAGATCTCTGAGTTGAAAGCCAGCCTGGTCCACAGAGTGAGTTCTAGGATAGTCAGAGTTATGCAGAGAAAAAGAAATAAACAAACAAAAGAAAGAAGTACAAAGTCAGAATAAGTCTAAAAGAATAGAATCCTTTTATAGAAATATTTTTTTCTCTTCTGATGCTTTGAGTACCTAACATGTCATCTTGAGCAAATTGCTTAAGTACTTTAATGCTATGAGACACTAAAATGAAGAGGTTTGACCAGAAACAGATGGTCTCTTCAGCTTCTCTTCCAATTCTGCAACGCTACTAATTCTGGGATAATACTTTTAAAACTCAGTCAAATCCTTGTGTTTGTGTGTGGTGTTTGTACATGCTCACACGTGTGTGTGCACCTGTGCCTGTGGGTATATGCACGTGTGCAGAAGACTACAGGTCAGTACAAGTGTCTTCCTCATTCACTCTCCACCTGATTTTTTGAGTCAGAATGTCTTACTAAACCTTAAGCGCATCAATTTGGCTAGAATATATGGCTAATGGCCTCAGGGATCCACCTGTCTTTCTTTCCCTGGGCCTGGGGATTACAGATACATACCACCATGAACGTAGGTGCTAGGGATCCATAGAAATGTCCCCATGCTTGTTCAGGAAGCACTTTACCAATTTCTTTCTCTCCAAACACTCGTTTGTTTGTAAAACAGAATATCCAAAAGTGAATAGAATGTTTTTGAGAAAAAGTGCTTGATATTATGTAGAACTAATTTATTGTCCCATTTGAGAAAAGTTGATTGTTCATTCCATATTCATTATCATATCACATGTTGGCCACAAGATGTATGATGAGTAATAAGTAAATATTTCCATAGAAGAAGATAAAAGATAGGAATCAAGTAATATTTTTACTTATATAGAGACATTTGCACACACGCATACATACACAGAGTGAATAATGAGACCGTCCAATACCAGAATGATCATTAATCAAGAAAAGTGTTTCTCATACCAAAATAGCCCATATCCACAACCTTTCACTTTGCCCTAAAACTAGTAAGAATTTCAAAAGTGAACATGTGAATTTTTGCAGAAGAAATATATTTCTGAAATTCAGTTTAACCTGTATTCAGATTTTACCCACATTAGTGTGTATAAATTTCACTCTGAGAATCACTTAATATGTTATTGACATAACTTCGGCAAATTTATATTTTATATTTTTATGCTTGACGGAAGAAATGTGTAAATGCTATATGAATTTCATGTTTATGAAAATTTGAGCATTAGTTTGAGAGACAGGAACACTAACATTCTTAAGCAACAATGAATCACTTAGGGAGTACTTGGTATCAGCAGTTAGAACAGAGAGGGCTTTTTCCCCTGGTAGAGAACAAAGAAAGTGCAAAAGGAAGAAGAGCCTTTTGACTTTTGAGTGGGAATAAAAGCAACTTGGACACTGAGTATATCTGACCTTTTCCTTACTCTTGGAATGCTAATTATGTTGGAAGTTGGAGTTCAAGGCCCAGCTTGGGAAACAAAAAATGTTTCCTTCTCTTTGAGTTTAATTCGGTCTCTTTACTTAAAGCCCCACAGCGCCCACTTTATTTCTGCAGATCTTCGTTATTTCTGCATCCATCCCGTTTCTCTGTGTCTGCTGACGTGCTATTATATTACACAGGGGCACGCAGGATGTACGGAGATACATCACTAGTTTTATAAAGGAAGTCAAAGTGAAAAATGAATTCAATAGAGTGCAATTTGCTTTAAGAATGTGTGCTTTTCGGAGTAAAGTTTTATTAAGGATTTCAAACTAGGCATCAACCAAATCACATTTGAAATATCTGTATCTAGAGAAATAACGGCCACTTTATCATGTTGTGTAATTCTTAGAGTGCTGTCACAGAGGAGTTCTTTAAATATCTAGCCATAGATCCCAGGACACCTAAAAGTCCTATATTTTAGCTAAACCTCATAGTTTGTGAAAATTTTCTGTTTTTCACAGATCAGCACTTATCTTTTAAGAGTCTAGTAGCCACCAAGATCTTGTCTTCACTAATAAAGATTAATATGAAATGGGTAGACACCGTGTATCTCTTCAAACTCCCTTTTTTATTTCTATTCCGTGGGTAGGGATAAAGTACATTTGGCTACTGAGAAGAGGTCATTTTCTCTGGAATTTAAAATAGTTGGTTAAAACCAGTATGCATAAGGCTTTTTTCTTATCTGGTGGTGCCTTGTAATTCTCAATTCCCATGTGTAAATATGACTGTATAACAGATATGCCCTGGCAGTAATTTTTAGACCTCTGGTCCTGCTTTTCCCCAATTGCAAAATGGGGTGTTTAAACTGTGATCTCTAAGGTTTGTCTTAATGCTAACATCCTATACTAACAACAAAACATACTTCCAAATACAGGGAACGGCAGTTACCAAATCCTTTTCTTTTTTTTTTTTCTTGTCTCCCAGGAGATATTCTTTGTGCCTCTGACTGCCTACCTTTCAAAACATCCTGTCTGATAGTTTCTTTCACCTTCCACGGAACTCAGCTGTAACTTTCAAACATTGCAGAGAATCCTTGTGACCAGTACTCATTAGACTTCACGTTTTATATAATCGTCATTCTTCCAAATTGGACAAGTATAAAGATGAAAGAAAATCTTGCAAATCTACCCCTGAAAGACAACCTGGTTGTCATTTCAGATATTTCCATGCATAGTCAAGTATGGGCTTGCAAGTGTATGCCTAGCTACACACAAACATTTTACAAAAGAAAAAAAAAAGATTTCCTGTTTTAACCCACTTTCTCATTTTCCATATGCATAAACATTTGTATATGCCATCATACTGAGTATTACATAGGAATTCATTGTATGACATTACCATTGTAGAAGAAAGAAATCCCTTAGCATTGAATATTTACAGTTTACAGTGTATCACAATCATAAGCAATGCTGTAATTAATATTTTCTACCTATAGCTTTGTGGGCTTTTCCACTGCTTTCTTCATATTTCTCAAATTGAATATTTATTTACACATTTTAAAGATCTTTATTTCTTCATTAGAGTGTCTTTTGTAAAACCTGAAACAATTTAATTTCAGTTGAAAGTACAAACTTTGGTAGTTCAAAGCCAGAAAGAGAGTTATATTGGAAATGTCAGGCTAAGTTACTGAGCAGGCAAGGGAAATGTTCTTTTACCTGGCTGCTCTGCCTTAAATTTCTTGGCAGCCCCGGAGACTTTAGTGTATTTCCGTTATAAGCAGCATTAATTTTTATGAATTAATTAGTGCTTGCTGATCAAATGTAAGTGATGCAGCATGGTTGCAAATTGACCTGAGGATAAGGCACTGTAACTTTCCCCTTTGTTTTCTGGACGATGATTTATTTCGTTAATTTCGTTTCTCCTCCTCAAATGAAATGTGGGTTTTATAGCACAGATCAGTCATTTGTGTATTCCTCCATGGCTTCTAAGAATTAACATGTTCTGAATCCAGCTGATGGGCAGGCACTAAATTATTCATGTGTAGGGGAAGCTTTCTCTTCCATGTGAGTTTTTGGTCTCCATACATTCTACACAAAGGGAACAGTGAGGAAAAAAATGATTGGAACTTGGTGAAAAACAAATCCCAGCTGCAGAGGGATAAAGCAGGCTAGAAGGACACGCGAGGCATGTGGAAAGCCGAGCAGAAAGGACCGGATACCAGACTGAAGGAGTCAAAGAGAAAGACTGCCCAGGGTGGAAGACTTGGAAAAGTCGAAGTGTGGGGAAAGACCTTTCCACTTCTCAAAACAGAAAGAATTCCAGTATGAGTCACATGAAAACTAAAGGGGTTTTATTAGTCACTGGGTCTAAGACTTTTTCTACTAGAAACATTAAACAATCATTGGCTGAAACAGAATAGGAAAACATTTGATTCCAGCATGCAGGCCATGCCAAAATTCTCAGAATTCTGCATATGGAAAGAAACATATGGCAGAATGTGGCCTTGCCTGAAAATTGTCATTGGAATACTCCCACCTTGTTTATGACTTGTAAAATCAGGTAGCTAGATGGTTATTGACAGCTGTGCTCTATAGCTCAAAGTAGGGGTGTGTTGGGGCAATATTTACCCAATGAAATGGAACTAACAGACTCATCAATTATACTTCTGGACATTCTGTTACAGTATGCTCCCGTTCTTTTTTAGGTCCCATTTGGAAGCCAGTTCTGACCAGTGGAAGCGTCTGCATCTTTCTCTTCAGGAACTTCTTGTGTGGCTACAGCTGAAAGACGATGAATTGAGCCGGCAGGCACCTATTGCTGGTGATTTTGCAGCAGTTCAGAAGCAGAATGATGTACACAGGGTAGGATGCTTTAGAGACTAATAATTTGTGCATAGCAAGCATTAACTGACTATTTTTAAACTGTTTTTAAATTAAAAATTAAATGGGAGAGGAGTATTTTAGTCACTTCATCTGATGATTAATTATAAATAGCTCATGCCCATTATATTTTAAATGTCAAATATATCTGCATTAGTAATATCCCTTTTGTCTATTTTTAAATTCTTCTTATCATGGAAAATATTGAATATTTATAAAAGTAGACAGAACATTACAATAAACATTTATGTGCTTTTCAAGATATCAACAATCCTCAATTCATGGACAGTCTTATTTCTTCTATGCCTCTATTCATTCCCTTGTCATTTCAAGAAAATCTCAGGCATATTCCATTTATTCCTAAATATTTTAGGAAGTATCTCAAAAAAGAGAAGGATATGTCTTTTTTATTAAATAGAGTGCTATTATAACACTATAAAATAGCAGTAATTACATCATATCAAATATCCATAAATATTCCATTTTCTTACATATATCACATTTTTATGCTTTCCGTTTTATTTTAATAATCAAAATGAGATCCATATATTGCATTTATTTAATTTTTTGTTATAATAGTTACATAATTTCTCCCTTACATTTTCTCCCTTCAAACCTTCGTATGTACCCTTTTTCTCTCTTAAGTTTCTGGTCTCTTGTAGCATTACTTGATACTGCATGCTTTCATAAATATTTTTCCTACATATAATCTGCTCAGTCTGTATAGTGCTAATTATATATGTGTTCAGGGCTGACCGTATGGCACTGGATAACCAATTGGTGTGTTTCTCTCTAGAGAAGACTATTTCTCACATTCTTAGCATTCCTTAGCTTCCTGCAGTTCTTTTTCAGGGGCTAAATCCTTGTGAGCTTTCTCCTGTCCTGTTTGGTTTATCTATTGTTGTTCTTCTTTAGCACATGTCATGGTAAGGAGACTGTATGGATATCACTTCTAACACTACTATCTAATGCAGTCTCACTGCAAACTCCCTGATCCTCTTCCTTTTAAACTCTACCTTATCTTCTTCTGTGTTTACTGAGCCTTAGGTATAGGAACTGTTTTGTTGGGGCCCCAACAACTTTTGTTGTAGTTTTCTGTTGTTGACTCAGTCTGTTGCTAAGAGAAATTCTTTTGATTCGAGGTGAGAACTACACTTTGTCTGTGGTTCTAAAGATAAGTATTTCGAGTGTTGATAGTGATTATGGTGTTTTACTAAAGTGGTCATTGTACTTTCTCTTCCATAATCCACGACTTCAGTAGCCCTGGGTAGTTGGGCTAAGCTTCCCGTACCAAGTACAGGTCCCTCCTGTTGAGGATGTCATAACTCCAATTGGAGAGCGTTTAGTTACTGCCAAGGAAGACATGCCATACCTACACCCTTAAGGTTATGGAGCCATGCTGGTTGATGTGGTGGTTGTTGTGGTTCATAGATGTTATGCTCCGATAGAAGTGTTGATTGTCTCCTTTTGGGATGATTGCTTGTCTAGTCCAGAGGAAAGAAATGTTCAGGACAATTCTAGGTCAAGGGCCTCTGGGCCCTGTTTCTGAAGTGCATGGCATCATCAACAGTAGGGACTTATCTTCCGAATCCTGGGGGAGTGGCAACCAAAGGCAAAACCAATAACTTCTATGTTTTGCGAATCTCTTGGACAACCCTGACTATGTTGGCTAGTTTTCCATCAACTTGACACTAGCTAGACTAACAGGAGAATAGGGAGCCTTAGTTGAGAAACTGCAACCGTAAGTTTGAACTGTAGGGTAAGCCTATAGAACCGTTTCTTAATTAGCGATTAATGTGGGAAGGCCTGGTCCATAATGGGTGGGACCACCTTGTGAAGGTGGATTTGGGTTCCATAAGAAAGCAAGCTGAACATGCCATGGGAAGCAAGCCAATAAGCAGCACCCCCTCATTGCCCATCAGCTCCTGCCTCCAGGTTTTAGCCCTTCTTGAGCTCATGTCCTGACTTCCTTCAGTGACTATGGTATGGAAGTATCAGCCAAATAAAACCTTTCCTCCCCTACTTGTTTCTGATCATGGTGTTTTAGCACAACAATAGTAACCCTAAGTGAAACCGTAAGAACAACTTAAAAGAAGGCGTCTCGTGTTTGATCCTGGGGGTTTTGATAGGCAGTCTGTCTCTGGTGGAGAACATCATCAGCCCTAATTTATTTATTTGCTTCCTCTCTTCATTATTTTTATACCATTTATATGCTATTGACAAGGTAACTACGTCTCTAATTTTCAGAATAATTTGATATTCCTTCCGTAGCATCCTTCACCAGTGGCCAGGTGTTTATCTGGCTTTTGTTTTGTGTTGTTTTATACTTCTATCTTCTCAAGCAGGCTCTGAGTGGGGAAGGCAGAAATTTTGCTTTCTTCACATTGATAAGATGGTACCACTTTTATATGTCCAGTCTTTAAAAGAAAGATCTCTCTGAAGACTCAGCCAAAGGTAGCACCTTCAAGAAAGTTCAGCGGCTGATGTTATTCCAGAGAAGGGGACATATGAGTTTACAAATGAAAGAAAGCATGAAGTCCAAGAGGTCTTGAAAGACAGTGCTAAGAAAGTTGACTGCTTCTTTGGCTTTTTTTTTTATATGAGTCACATTCCCAAGTTTTTGTAGCAAGTTGAAATGATGAAATGAAACTGCTACATTTTTTTTCTGCTACATTTTTAAATCTTAATTTGGAGCAATCATATGTATGTATTACATATATATGCATGTTATATATAAAGCATTCATTGAGAAGAATGAACATTTACACAATCCATTTTGATCATATTCTCTCCCCTTTCTTAAACTGTCTCAGATTCTCTTTACCTCCCTAACAACTCAAATTCTTGTTTCTCTCTATCTTAAAAAATATATAAAACCCCACAATAACCAAAACAAACTTTAAAAAAGACAAAAATACCAAAACAAAACAAAAGTGCACAAGGAAAAAAAAACAAAAAGGGGTCTATTTTGTGTTGCACATAAACTTTGGGACATAGGGCCTGGCCTGGATTTTGTGTGATGAACCCAGTGTCGCTCCATTGACGAAAACTGACTTCTTTTTCCAAGCAGCTATCAGTTGCAAGTAACTTCTTGGATAAGGGTGGGATTTTTGTCTACTTTCCCTTTGCAGTGTGGGATTTTGTCTGGTTTGAGCCTGTGCAGGTCTTAGATATGCAGTCACAGTCTCCACAAATTCATATGTGTACCAGTCCTATTGTTTCTAGAAGATTCTACATCCTTGGGACCATCCACTGCCTCTGGCTCTTAGGAGCTTTCCTCCTTCCCTTATGTAGAGAATCAAAAGCATTTTAAATAGAATTCATTGTATGAGATAGTAAATTGAGACTGAATTGGTATAAAAATACATAATTTTATTATAGGTCCAAAAGCCAATGAAAATTAATCATTGGAAACATGCAGTAGTAATGGCAATTTTATTCGGCAGTGAAAAGACAGGCATTGATCAAAAATTGTCATGATCTCCTTTCCCAGCATTTTGGTGTCGCGATTGCTTTCCTTCCCCTGACGACTTGATCTGGTATTTTACTAATCGAGCTATTACTGCTCAAATGTTTGTCCACAAATTCTCCATCTCCATTCACAAATTTCAAGAAAGTCATGTGTGGTGGGAAGAGGGGATGCTGGAGTTAGAGGCATGCTTGAGTTATTATCACTCAGATGCATGCCTCTGGGTTGTAGCCCACTGATCTCTCCTTATTTGTTAGGAGTTCCTCTATTCTTCCATGGTTGCCTTCCCCGCCTCCACTATTACTCAGATGCAGTCAGCAAACAAGTGAATAACTGAGTATCCTTCTGTAAAGCGTGTGGCGCTGCTTTGACACATATTTTATTTGTGACTTGGCCCAATGCACAGGTGAGCTTCTCTTGGTAGCTTGAAGGCGGTGGATATCACAAGGCATTGTCTTTGCTCGGAAGTCTGTGCCTCCCAGGTGCCGATGAAAGCACAGTTTTATACCCAGTTTTACTCCACAGCAGCTCTTTTGGGGCTGGACTACAAAGGTTTCCTCGGCAGAGGCACACTTGCTGCCTGGATGAAAAGAATGAAGAAGAGCCATTGAAGCGGGATTTTCTGTCAGAACATCAGAACTCAGAAAGAGAAAAAGGAAATGTGTTCAGTATAAAACTCCATCTAAATGTACTCAGCAATGGGTTCTGATTTCTCCTTTTATTAGACATTTGTTTCCCTCCCATGTTCCCAGGATCACATTTCTCTGGTTCTTTATTAGTTTAGTGATTCAATTGCTGTTTATATGACTGCTGGGCTGGCTGTCAAGATGGATCACTTGTAATCATAAATTTATTCCCTGTGTATTTTCAGGGTCACTTTTAAAAGTCATCTCTTTACTATATGTGGTAAACTATCAATGTCCTTGATGACAGCTTTTGATGGGAACCTGTCTTTTCCTTTTCTTTTCCTTCCTTCCTTCCTTCCTTCCTTCCTTTCTTTCCTTCCCTTTTCCAGATCCCATCTGCAGTTTCCCTCCTTCCTCTCCCTCCAGCCTCTCTCCCGCACCTCACCTCTGTCCCCTACATTTACTACTTCTCTGTTTCTATTCTTATAAGGGTAGGCCACACATGGATATCAACAAAACATGACATATGGAGTTACAGTAATACTAAGCATGTATTAAGGCTGAACAAGGCAACCCAGTATGAGGATAAGGGTCCCAGAGGCCAGCAAAAACTTCAGAGTCAGCTCCTGCTCCCATTGTTAAGAGTTCCACAAGACAACCAAGCTACACAACCATCACATATATGCATGGGGCCTATGTAAGTCCCATCCAGGCTTCCTGGTTGTCAGTTCAGTCTCTGTGAGACCTTGAGCCCAAGTTAGTTGATTCTGTGGATTTTCTTGTGATGCCCTTGACCTCTCTGGTTCCTACAATTCTTCCTCCCTCCCCGCCTTCAGATTCCCTGAACTCTGCCTAATACTTGACTCTGGGTCTCTGCATCTGTTCAC